AAATTCTTGTTCAGATAAAGCAGATTTATTATTTTTACAAAAAGTAATAGTAGGTGTTGAATAAAATAGAATTTTATAACCAAATTTCAATACGTCTAAAATAAAATCAGACGCGCCTATGTCACGCCAAATTTGAATATTTTTTCTCAGTCTACCTTTAACTATTATACATTTTTGACCTTGTTCATACTCATGAAAGTCATGTGTAAACATAGTATAATCAAATTGATACTCATCTTTATACACAACTTCATTTTTTGATTGTTGACTGGTTCCCGAGTGATTTGGCTGTGAAAGGACAGTCTCGTCGGAAATGTCCGAATTCTCCACAAGCGAAACAGGGTCCTGTAGCGGTCGAGCCATAGTTCTCTGAAACGTTAATGAAACGTGGTCCTCTGAGATAGGGGCGAAAAAGACTCCCTCTACCGAATCCCCCGGAAGTAATCCTCGATGATGAACCGTAGAAACCGGGGTTATTACGTACTGGAAAAGCAAAATCCATGGGAGTATACCTCGGAGAAGCAGAACGTTTATTGGCGGGAAATTTGCTGCCTTGTTTCTCTTTCTTTCGTTTAAGAGCCTTGTTCTCAGCTCTGGTGATTTTCGCTTCATCATCTTCATCACTCGCAACTGGATTACTGACATAATTTCTGACCGTGTCCCAGCCTGCCGTACTTGTGTCAGCTATTCGGATATGCTTGTTGCGTTCTTTAACTAAGCTTATAACCTCTTCTTAAAGCTCACAGCTATACTGATATTTGCCGTTTTGTATTCCCCACTTAGCCTGCTTAACTTTTTCGTCAATACTACTATTAAGTTCGTACTGAATCTTGTGTCCTTCAAATTTCCATGTTAAAACTTTCTCTGATTTTAATTTGTCTACTTCTGAAGATAAAGATCGTGACTTGCCTTGAACTTCGTCTCTTAAAGTTTGAAAATCCTGCCTCTGTGAACGCAGTTCATCCAAAACAAGCTGTAGTTGATTATTATAACCATGAGAGCTGCCTTCTGCTTGCAAGTCAAGACCACGTGGTGAATTGTCCAAGTTTTCTTCCGACATTCCAAGGACATACAAGTTACACACTACACAGTTAATTTAAGCTGATATTGCCTAGTCGATCGTCCAAAGCTGAATGACCAATACTACACATTACTTTAGCACGAAAACTTCGTGCACGAAACTATGCAATAGGATACTTCATTCGACCAATGGAAAATAATTTTCCTCTAATTCGCTTTCGCTCAACCGTGGAAAATTATATAAACCATAAGGAAATGATAGAGCGTAGAAATGAGGATCCGTTATATACCCCGAATGCATTAATGAACCGAAATATTTCAATTGAAGAAATCTCCAGCATTATTATGAAAGCTAAAAGTGGGTCAGCTCAGGGATTTGACCGTATTCCGTATGATGTATTGAAATTCCCAGCAGTCATTGCGGTGTTGAAGGAACTTTTTCAATTGATATTTGAATGTAGCATTATCCAATCAATTTGGCGTAAATCGATTATATTCCCAATTCTTAAGGATCCAAATACTGATAAACGAGTACCCTTACATTATAGAGGAATCAGTCTACTGTCTTGCGTTAACAAATTATATACTGCGTTTATTAACAAACATGTTTCTGGATACATGGAATCAAACAATCTTATGGCCGATGAACAGAATGGTTTCCGAAAAGGCAGGTCTTGTGAAGATCATATTTTTACACTAAATAGCATTATACGTAACAACAAAAACACATTCACTGCTTTTATAGACTTAAGAAAGTGCTTTGATTTTGTTGATAGAGACTTACTTTTGTATAAACTGTTACTTAACAATGTCGATGGGAGAGTTTATAATTCTATTAAAAACATATATGCTAGTGCATCGGCTTGTGTTCGCATAAATAATAGCGGATTACCAAATTATTTTGTCCATACTGATTGGTTCGATTGTACTACTGGATTAAAGCAGGGGTGTACGCTGTCGCCGACGCTCTGGTCCGTGTTTGCAAATGACCTCATTCACGAAAATAATAGCCTTGGGCTTGGAATTAACGTTGGTTCTATGATAGTATCTACATTGTTCTACGCGGATGACATAGCGCTGATCTCAGACTCAGACATAAATTTGCAGCGTATGCTTGATGTTGTACATGAATGGTGCAAACGGTGGCGCGTCTTATTTAATACTAATAAGTCCAAATGTGTCCATTTTCGTAGAGGACCTACACAGCGCAGTGAATTTATTTTCAGAGTTGGTGAAAATGTTCTAGAGACCGTTGATCATTATAAATATCTGGGCATAGTTTTTGATGAGGAAATGAACTTTAATCTTAATAGTGAATCATTATCTAAAGATGCTGGAAGAGCTTTAGGGAGCATAATCTGTAAAATTCACAATCTGAAAGATACTGGAATTAACACATTTGAAAAACTGGTAGGCAGTTGTGTGAGTCCAATATTGGAGTATGGCGCCTCCTCGTGGGGCTTCAGGTCGTACCAATGTGTTGACAATGTCTATCACCGCGCGCTAAGATACTTTTTTGGTGTACATAGATTTGCACCACTCGTAGCAATGTATGGAGATTCAGGATGGCTACCAAGTGTGCTCAGACAGAAACTGCCTATAATACGATTTTGGAACAGGTTGTTGTTGTTATCAATGCGGGATGATAGACTAACCAAAAAAGTGTTCTTATAAGATTACGGTAAATGCAATACATGTGAAAATTGGTCTTCAAATATAAAAAAGATTTTTATTGATCTTAATTTAGAACAGCACTTTACAGATTTAACAACAGTTAGTATGTCTACTGCTAGAGATAAAATACGAGACCTGTACTGTAATAAATGGCAGACCGATTTGCAATCATGTAGGAAACTTCGTACATATAAACTGTTTAAAGATACCTTTGATAAGGAAGATTATGTTTCACTTAATTTAAGAAAACATGAACGGTCACTTTTATGTCAGTTCAGATTTGGCATTTACCAATACGTATTGAGACTGGGCGTTTCGTTGGAGAAGCAGTGGAAGACAGAATTTGTCGTTTTTGTGAAAGAAATGAAGTGGAGGATGAGACTCACTTTTTGTTATCATGTGATATTTATAGACACATAAGAAACGATATATTTGTTAATGTTGACTGTGTTCAGGACATGAATATAACCATTTCTTAAAAAGTATGTGTGTTGATGACTGATCACATAAGAAAGACAGCCAAATATATAATGAAAGCTTACTTGTTTAGACGAAGTATACTTTACTCTAAACTTATGAAAATAATTTAGGTTTTGCATTTCAACAAAAATTATGTCTCACAAAACTATTTTTTTGTTATACTAGTATGTGCATACTATCATATTTGGTATCAATTTGGTATTGTTTTACCATAACCATTTCCCTCACGTTATCTGTCATATCATGTAAAGTTATATGATTAATGTTATTTATTATAAAAGGTGACTAATATGTCCATTGGGCCGGGTGCATAACTCTTTGTTTAAATGTATTGTACTGTATAAATGTTCATTGCATATGTCACTATAATAAACAATTATCTCTCTCTCTCTCTATCTCTCTATATCCAAATCATTGTATTTACTAGTAAAAGAGCAAAATAATCACTAATTAATTGATTCTATTTTAAATAATTCTATTTCAAGTGATATTGTTAGCACCATAAAAAGTTGTTATTTACTTTGGTTTAAATTGAACAGAGGTGTGAAGGTGTGAAAGGCAACAAATGACTTTTGTGTTTTAAATGAAAGATGATTGCATTGTATTACAGTTGACTGGTTACGAAACAATAAGATATGACATGAATATATGTTGTAAATATTGTTGGAAAAAAGTATGTTAAAACTATAAAGTTGTAAAAATGTTATGTTAACTTTAAAGTAAATTATGATTTTATTTCTTTGCTGAATAATATTTGCAATTATTTTTTTTGACACTGTTAATTCAAACTTTTGAAAAAAAGTAACAACAATCACACCAAAAAAACCTTACTGCAATACCAAAACTAAAATTTTAGTACTGGTACTGGGAATGGAATGGACTGCATAACCAAGTACGGTACAAACACACCCAAGATGCAGCCTGCTGTTTACTTTATATAAAATTAACCCTTTAATTTAGGTGGACTTTTTCCAATATTGGAAAAAACTTGGGGAACAACCGCATTAAAATTTCTATTTTTTCTGACGAGACCCAATACGAACTTTTTGTTTTTTATTTTTATTATTATTATTATTATTGTGTTCCATGTTCTCATCTATAGTTTGACTTGAGACAGTTAAGATGCTATTGGTACAGAGAGGTACCTAAGGGTTCACATATCAGTAAACCTGAAAATTTCGAAAATGGGAAGATCCGAAAGCAACAATCAGAGTTGTGATAAACTTCCCTTCCACAATCATCTCGAGTTAGGTTAACACGCTAAAGATGTTATGTGCGAGAATGTTTTACAACAAAATGATTTATCATATATTCCATATTAATGTGACGTTTAGTGTATTAATTACATTGTCAACATTTACCCTCAGTTTTGGTAATATTTTATTTGTATTCATATTCATAACTCATGTAATTTGAATATTATATATGATATATATGCTCGGTGCCGGAATGAACCATATGTTCGAGATACATTAGTGTCCATGACGGTCCGCATCTGATGCCAACTTTTTCATGCATATTTCCGCAAATCATGTCGTACATACGTGTTGGTACCCGGAGAAGACGACAGCAGCGTCCAGACGTCTTTCTTTCAAAATGACCGTTTGTAGGACCTCGACCTCCCGAGTTAATCACTACAGGTCAAACAATCATCCATGAGACTTAAGATGACTTGACCATGACTTCCTATGCGTCATGTACGCCTCAAAGGGAATCTGAAGAAGGTTTAAAAAGTCAAGCGGATATACATTTTATTACAATTAATGCATAATTAATAAGTGATAAAATTAGCAAATTATATTCAGGGAGTTTAATCATACTTGAATTGCATGATTATCAAATTATTTGCGACAATCGAGAAGGAAAGCTTGCAATTGTAATTTAAACGCGATACACTTGACAATGTTGGTGAATATCTTTCTTTGTTGTCTTATTATTCAAAGTGAGTATTTTTCGTTTATGGTAGATTTATTGAATGTTTGTTGCTTTGATTAATCTTTGACATGAACTTTATCTATGATGTTAAGTTATTTCGTAATTTACCATTGCAATTTGTTTAAATCTGATTCTACATATTTGGTATACCTATTTTTTCATTTCTAGAAAGAAATATCTTAATTTGTTTAACGCAATACTTGTTTAAGCTAAAATGAACACTGTATGTTGATATTTTAAGGTGTATATGGACGCAACCCAGAAAATGACTTATCAAATGATGACTGTACAGGGTTTTGTCCTGCTAATTGGGATCCTGTGTGTGGATCCGACGGGAAGACTTATGGTGAGTGTTTTGTCATATTTTAAATTCTCTGTTTAAGTATAAAATTCTATGTGATGGGAAATATTGAAAATAAATGTCTCAGAAGACGTGTTACTTCTTTTACGATTTAAATGTTCCAACCTTAAAATGGAATCTTCCATAAAACTAACTAGAAACATGATAACGCCTCGAGACTTTGATCTAAATATTTCTATCTTTAAAATTTGGAATAGCATGAAATCAATGCGTAAGTTTCGTGAAAATATTGGGAAAATAATATATTTTTGCACACTAAAACTAGGTAATTGCAATAATATTGATGACGTTAAAAATCAGTAATTACACATTACATTTAAATCATAACTTGAATCTTCAATCCTTTACTTTTCCTAACAACTTAGTTCATTTTTCTCAAGTTTGATTCTTGAAATATTTTATTTTTCTTGACTCATCTGGAGACACGAAACATTAACACAAGGTATACAATTACCTAAAATTCTGGAAACAAAGTGATCCCTCGGAAGCATTAATCACAACAAAATAACATAAGAATTGCAGACTCGGTTTGATTGAGTCTGTACATGAGGGATAATGAATAAGTGCAACATCCCTCACGCCCCCTAGCACCGGCTTGAGCGGTACTCAATTCAATAATTCAATAAAAGTTAAATAAAGATATCCAAATTTATGTTAATTAATGAGTAAAAAGTTCAAAACATATCTTTTTTTCAGGAAATGCTTGTGAATTCAACTTTGGACAGTGCAAAAACGAAGAACTTAAATTAGCTGGTATTGGACCATGTCGTGTTTAGATGAATGGAAACATTATAGTGTTGGAATCTATTAATAAAGATGAAGTCTGAAGAATGGAAGTGTAATTTTGTTAAAAATAAAGATAACGTCTGCAAATCTTTGTTGTTTTATAAAAGTGATATCCTCAGTTCAACGAGATATTACATTTTACTGTGTTCATTAATGAAAACTACTTAAACATAAGTATAAACAATTCATTTACATGACAATTGACAAACAATAAACTGTACGGATTGAATACGAAACTTGAAAAGCCTTTTTTAGAAACTCTCTCCGTAAGCTCTATCTCAAAAGGATGAATGAAATTGTAACAATTATATATGCATTTTTTGTGTTAAATATACATAATTTTTTCACTATAAACTTGCTCTCTTACATGTACACGAACGTTAGCAATTTGAAATCAGGTTGTTCTAATCGAACCGACCTTCATAATTAAGTATAGACATAAAAATGTAAAGGAAGACCCTATAGCTCTGTAGCATAATACACGTAAGTGATAAATGCACAAATTAGTACGTTTTTAAAAACTAATCAAGAATAATAAAAGAACTTTGAAACATGCTGATAAATCACAGAAAACAAATATGGAAATGAAAGTTAATTGTTGAAAGTGTTGGGTAATAGAAGGAATGAACGAAGAAGAAAAAACTTGAACATTCGATTAAATACTAACGTTTCTATAAATAGTAAGTGCTTACGATAAAGGTTGTCCAAAATTTCAGAATTTACACCGTGATATGTTCAATCATTGGTGACATCTGTTTTTCCTACCGCCTCCGTGGTCGACGGGTTAGAGTCGATGACTTCTAATCCAGTTACCGCTCTGGCGTGGGTTCGATCCCCGGGAGATGCTTTGGTAGTTTAGCACGGAGGAAGGTAGTCTATTACTGGTGTAACTCTCCAGGAACGATGGTTAGGAAACTACCCGCCTTTATGACTGAAATACTTTTGGGAAAAGGCGTAAAATGAAACAAACAAAACTTACCGAATCTGTAATTTTCATGTATTTTAGATGTGATTAATGCTTCCAAGTGATCACTCTTTTCCGGATTTTTTTAAACAAAGCAACTTTTTCAAAATACACTCATGCCTACATTTAAAAATGAAAATATTGCAAGCTTGGTTTGATTGAGCCTGTTCATGGTAGTACTGGAAAGTGTATGCTACCGTCCACGCTCACTAGCACCGAATTAAGCAGAATTCAAAATTTAAACACGAAAATGGTAAGGTTTTGAATTAAGATACAACGGCAAATATATACGGCGGATATCATGGGACCTCTAATGTGACAAGTTCATGTCATTCCACGAGAACGGCATATGGTCACAAAGTAAAAGAATGCATGTGCCTTAACGAGAAAACAATAAGCGAAACTAAATAAAAAGTAATTTTGAAAGATGGTTATAATAAAGGCCTCAACAGACGGTAGGATTTTGAAGTACAACACCAATTAAAACTAAGATGTACAGACAAATCTTAATGTGTGAAGGCTACTATTTCTTGATTTCGGAAACCTTAAGTCTAGGTGTAAGGGATAGGACATGTTCTATTTTGAAAATCTTGTCGTACAGATTTTTACAGACCTCCCACAATGACAAGTAACAGATAACCAAATTATCTCCTGATAATGGGTGTAATGAATGAAATTCCAGAACAATTAGGGCTAAAAGGTAAACATAGTAGTAAGATGGGGTAAAAATGATGTTGAAAAACTCTTCAGGAGACCCAAAGTTTTGTTATGTTCGAATCCCAAATTATTCCGAAAAAGATTATGTCTCGGTATTGAATTGTTCTCGAATTAGGGGCGAGGAGGTAGTTTGTATGCGGCCAGATAGCTTAGTCATTAGAGCCGCAGTCCGGTATTCCGAGGGTCCCAGGTTTGAGTCTCGGTCAGGCTTCACATTAAAAAAAAAATATATATATATATTTTTTAAATGAAGGTGTTTCAATCATTACTCATGGCGAAAAAAGTATTTAGTGAGTAAAGTATGTAAAGGCTCAATGTAAAGGGATCCTTTTTAGGGGAAACCTCAGATGATTCTTACAGTGTATAATTACCGTCTGAATGCAAGTAAATCCTACCTTCTGTTGAGGCCTTAATGAAGCCTGCATATTAAAGATAAGACATCAATAGACAGGCACCATATCCTAAGAATGATTATACAGTATGCGAGTAGGAATACTGGAACAACATAACTGTAAAAGGTTAAAATAGAATAAACTAAAGATTCCACAAACACGCACACACAATAATGATGCCGTGCTGAATGATCTGAAAGGATTGAAAATACTGCATCTTTGATCAGAATAACTAAAGAACGCCCAAAAGGACACAAATAAAATGAAGCAACACATATTGTCAGTGACGTTATTTTGCAAAATCTGAGAAAGCTCGCATATGCTACAATTTATTCATATATTTATTTTTGGCAAAGAATAGTCAAATGTGTTTATTTTTGTGTTGTAATTTAAAGCATATTTAGGAACTTGTTAACCAAATGCATATAGTATAAATTTTGGCAATCTGTTTAAAAACTTTTTCTTGTGCGTTTATATCAGAAACAGAATATACATCCATAGACAGCAATGTCAAGCATAGCAAATACCAGGAAAGAAATGAACCGCGTCACGATAAAACCAACATAGTGCATTTGCGACCAGCATGGATCCAGACTAGCCTGCACATCCGTGCAGTCTGATCAGGATCCATGCTATTCGCTATCAGTTTCTCTACTTGTAATAGGGTTTGTTAGCGAACAGCATGGATCCTGATCAGGCTGCGCGGATGCTGGTCGCAAACCCATTATGTTTATTTTGTCGTGACGCGGCTCAAATCTTGATAACCTTTCCCACCACAATGAAAAGTAATTGGTTAAGTCCTGGATACAGTGTCATTTTCATTTTTCAGTTCAATCTGGTACCATAGGCTAACACAGGTCTTTAAGATTAAGCTCTTAACAACACAGACAAGTTTATAACGTAACTGTAGATCTCATATAGGTGCAGAACAGTTCTGGATGCTCATTGCTAATGCAGATCATTTCTTCTTTACTTAGTTAAGTTAAAGCATTCTTGTGTATGATAAGGTCGCCTTTTTCAATTCCTAAACTCAAAGGTTTTGGTTCAAAACCATTTTGCTTTTAAGGTTGTTCATTATGGATTAGGTTGTTAGTCAATATGACTCAAACTAACATTTTACCTGCTTTTAAACTTTCTCTTAAACTTGCTTTAAAACAGTATATATTGTAGATAAACTTCGTCAGATCATATCATACACTTACTATTAATATTTTATTTAAGTAGGTTACGTTGCATGAATAAAGTATTTTATAATTTCTTTGATAATTGTGAAAATTAAAATAATTATCATTGCTCCTTAGTTCATATCACCAACACTTAATATAGAGGGTTTTCTGGTATCTATTATTCCTTGTCGAACGGTATATTGTATATGTTCGCATATTTTATGGTGCGTTATGTTTGTTTTATAATACGAGTAATATTAAGCATAGTCAAGTACAACACAGAGCCGGTAAGATAGACATAGACAAGTATTGTATGTTTGATATCATAACCTAAAGTATCGATTATTTAATTATACCTATTGTTTTGAAATGGTGAAAAATAAAGATGTAAATGTGTTGGTACAGCAGGAAAATAACAGTAAATGAATAGAAATAACACAGTACAAACACAAACAAATTTGTGCTTCTTTCCTATATTAATTCAGACCTGGTTTTGATGATGCTAAGGCAAAAAAAATCTTAAAAAATAAGCAAGCAAACCGTTTAATTTCGGTTTCATTAGTTTGAACGACTAAAATGCCTGATATAACAACTGAATGTGTAATAAATAAGTGATAAAATTAGCCAAATTATATTAATAGAGTTTGACGTCATTTCCATTGCACTTTTATTATATCAAGTTCAATAATCTAGACGGACAATTTGCTATAGAAATCTGTACGCGAAATCTTTGAAAATGTTGGTTTGCATCTTATTTTGTTGCCTTGTCATTCAAAGTGAGTAATCTTTCTTTTTCTTTTTTGAAATAGATTTATTAAATTTTTAAATTATTTAAATTGTTGTTTAGATTGTTCATATAATTCAAAGAGTACATTTCTACTGGTATAAAAATGTTGTCTGAAATTTACAATTAACTGGTTATTATTCGAATCCTACAGAAGTACCTAGTATAAAGAAATGATTTTTGTAATGTAGCAGGAAACAAGCTGGAAATGCGTTAAACTTTCATAAACTAGTAATTAAATATTTTTATCAAGGGCCGTATAATTATTCAGAAATTATATTTTGGTATCAGATCACAGTGATTGAATGCTCATTATTATATTTTGTTGGATTTATGATTTTATTTATTTATGGTTGGAAGTAAAAGTAAAAGTGTCCATCCCTGCTATTGTTAACTAAAAAGGTGACATGCCAATGCTACATTGAATGCATAATTTGCGATAAGAAATTGATAAATCAGACATTGAACTGCGATATTTTAAGGTGTAAGTGGACATGATCATCAAAATGACATACCGGACGCTGATTGTAACCAAATATGTATTGCTATTGGGGCTCCTGTATGTGGATCTGACGGAAAGACATACGGTTAGTGCTTTTACATTCATTTGACAAAATACTAGTAATATCAAACATTTTTATTAACATGTTATTAAACATTTCGGTGATAAAGTTTGAAAACGTTAATTTTTATGCAATAGAATATTAAATTCATAAAATGAAGTTCAAGTCATCAAAGTATTTAGTAATTATCATTTCCATTTCTCGAAAAAAATTTTCTGTTATAATTTCCGGAAAAAATATTGGCCAAATGGTTGAGCAATATTTTGCTCCTTTTACTTTTCTTTTTGTTATATTCGTTAGTAAGGGGGTAAAAAGTAGCACCTTTTAAGGTTTGCTACCTTTGAAACAAAAGTTATCACAATCAGTGCAACCAACTTCCAGTGATAAACTGATCTTAACTACTATTAGAAAATAATTAAGCACATGTTTGCCCATATTAACAAGAAAATTATTCATTTCTGAGGCATAATGTACCTTTACCTAACTCTATTTCTTCGAATTCGAAGTTTCATTAAATGAATTTGTAGTTAAGACAAAAAGGACTGAAAAAGATTTGTGAAAAAAATTGATGAAGTAAAGCATGTAGTGGAACATTTAACCATTTTGTGCACTTTTTTTAAATATCATTTTTGTTCTTTTTTATTTAGTTTTTTATTTAATTCATTTGATTTTACAAACATTAAAAAATATTTTATATTCATGAAATATCAATAGAAATACTGTAATAAAAACTTGTTTCTTCTAAAACAGACTTTCGTAAAAAATGATCTTTAAATTATTATTTTAATAAAGCATTTTTTTTGCAAATACAATGTACCTATACCTTGAAAATATATTGAAGAAATTCAGTAACCGCAGTATTCCTAAATATGTCAATCAACGAATATGCATACATACAAATTATGTTCAAATGAACACATGAAATAAATTTATCTTTGAAAAGTGCTTATCCTTTTAAAAAAAACAATGAAGGCCTAGGCATTTCATTAAAGTGTCCCTTTTGTGAATCATGAAACTTCTTTTTCGAATTTGAATAATAAATTCTTGGTTTATTTGACGCTTCTTTATTAGCAGGAAATGGTTCATATCAAACTACGTATGAAAATATACTGATTAATTACTCAGAAATGACATGAACTAGATGTTAAAGTTATAGGTCTGCATAATTCAGAATTATTTGCATATCTACCTGTTATTGTATCGTTAAAAAAGCTGAATGGCAATAACCTGAACACGAATAGACGAGCTGCTACAAATGTTATTCAATTCTACTGCACAGTATGAAATAGCATAAAAGCCAAATAAGAAAATCCTTCTGGCTGAAAAATCAGTCACATAATCTTAGGATAATCAAACATCTAGATATATACTAACACACTTCAAGTTTAAAATCATCAAATCAAATATATTTCAGGAAATTTTTGTGATTTCAACAATGGACAGTGCAAAAACGAGGAACTGAAATTAGCTCATACTGGACCTTGTCGCGTCTAGATGAATGGCAACATAATAATGTTACAAATAAAGATAAAGTCTGCAAAAATCTTAAGTTGTTTGTATCCCCAACTGTTCAACGATGTTTCATTTTAACATCTACTGTTTGATTATACAACTTGAAGTCTAAGTATCTTTTTTAACTAGAGTAATTTAAAGATGTTGACATAACAGGTTGCCCAAAACTTTAGAATTCACAACATCTTATGTCCGATCTTAGAGATACATAATTATGTTGAACCATTTTGTTTTACTGTATGACTTAATCTCATAAACAATTGCTAAAATAAATGTTTTTATATTTTTTTGTTCGATGACAATGTAAAATTTATAAACCTACATTTCAAATGCCAGCTTGCTATTGTAAGCTAAAATGGTTTTACTTTACAAGTGTAAGGTATTTTTTGTTAAAATTCAAGAATTATTCGAAGAATCTTCATATTATCCAAAAGTGTATAAACACCATCAACGGATATATATAAATAAAGGAAGTAGAGATATTTAGAAAATTCCATTGTCATGCTTCCTAAGAAATCCACTGATAATGTGTGTTATCCAAGAAATGCACCACAATTTGCTGTTTTATGTTTCCTTTGAATTTATTATAAGCGGCTTCTCATTTAGTCTTCTTTTATAGGACCAACTAACTTAGAGGATTGTGCTGTTATCATCTTACTTCATTTAGTCTCTACAGAGATATACCTAGGGGGGGGGGGGGGGGGGGGGGGGGGGGGGGGGGGGGGGGGGGGGGGGGGGGGGGGGGGGGGGGGGGGGGGGGGGGGGGGGGGGGGGGGGGGGGGGGGGGGGGGGGGGGGGGGGGGGGGGGGGGGGGGGGGGTTATTTAGTTTTTTATAAAAAAACAAGTAAAGGTTTGTGTTTTCCTTTTTTTTTTTTTAAAAAAATTTTAAAGGGCCAATTTTTAAATCTTAAATTGTACTGACAATATGAGATAGAATTGCAAAGATGTAAAATTTATAAATTTATTAATTTCATTTTGATATTTTAATAAAAATCATATGCTTCATACAGATTGTCCATCACAAGAACCATCATAAGCCACCTTAAGGTTTCCATCACGGCAATGAGCGGAGTGAAACTCACACATGTTACCTGTAACATTATTAAGGAAGATTATCGCTTCGTCTAATTTCTGTAGAACAGCACGGATGAACATTAACATTTACTAAGGAAAAAAATAAAGGATTTTAATGACACGAGTCATGCTGAAAGAAAAATTATCAATGATATGTTATACTAAAAAGTAAATATTCGTCTTTCACTTGGCCCACCACGCCCTACCATCATGTTTTTCCGTGAAAGTAATCATTGCAAATAATATAGACAACAATGTTACTTCAATAGGTGTAGGATAAACATTTTTAAGAGTGATCCTTTACATGCACCTCGAAATGAATTATTTCATTTTTGCAGTAGTTATTCATATGATTCTTTCTATCAATGTCTACATACAGACGAATATTATGTTCAAATGGGCTCTAGAAATGTGTCTTTGTAATACTAAAATTACACATCCTTGGTTTTATAAAAGTGTTTTCCTTTTAGTAAATCAAAAAACTTTAAGTCTAATTGAAATGACTGTTTGGTTTATTTGACATCTTAAAATCATTCCTCGAAAGCAGGAAATAGTTTATATCAAATTATCCTCGAGTGACCATTTTCGACGCCATTAAAGATTGTTTTGGATGCGTCTATAATCAAAGCACAAAAGGCGCTGAATTTTTTTGGGTCCCAGAATGTCAGAAAGGTGAAGGTTGTGAGATCATAAACCAATTTGTTTGTACATGTATAGTGTCACCAATACTGATTCCAGTTTTATTGCTATAAGACTAATTGCAACACTGATATTCAATTCAATGTTTATTTGGCTTAAACAATTAAAATAATATAATTAAAAAAAAAAGAACATATGTTGCCTGAACTCCAGACCTCTCGATTCCAAAGCGAGCACGTGTAAACCCCTCGACCACAGTTTGTTCTAAGATAACAGCTTAAAGAATAACATATTATTCTAAATTAGAGTTTGTAACCCTTATTAATTTCGATATATTTGTTCACGGTTAATCTGTTGTTTAACACTGAAGTAATTTATCATGGAGCTGAATATAAGCATGTATATCTATAAGAATAACACAATATTAGTAATCTTCGACCAATCGGGAACTATTTTTTCGTTAACGTAAAAAAAATCGACAACACGTACAGGTTGCTTTAGGGTGAAAAATGCGCCCAAACAACACTATTGGGTAATTTTACTGCCACGTGACCTGAGAATAAGGAAATGAGGTCAGCAGACAGGGAGGTATTTTCCATCCCATTTTTGCAAGGAAAACATGACATAGTAAAGTGAGGGTCAAAATTGCATTAGTGAAATCATACAAAAATCTCTTGAATAAGGTATAACATGCTAAATCTTACCTTTGGATGTCTTACTTACTAAATATTGTTACCTAACCAAAGGAAGGAATCTCCTATAGCGTAGTACAGTAATGATGTAAGCGGCCGCTTATATCAATTATGAGGCAAAATATAAATGTCGTTGAAATAGAGCAGCGTAAAAAACGGGTCACTCGACGATGTATAGATTGATTGGTTAATTACTCAGAAATAACATATACTAGTACTTAATGTAAATGTTCTAGGTCTACATATTTAAAAATAATTATTTGCATCCCTGCGTGTTTATGTATGTCTCAAAAACAATAAGATGACAATAATAAGAATCAAACTAGACGAAATTGCAATAGAATTTTAAACATGTAAAGATATAGTATACATATATTATATATACAGATACTTTCTATACATTCTCTCTTTAAAGGCAGCGTTAACATCTTAAGCGCTTACACAGAGAAGATATGTTACAATTAAATACACATTCTACACGCTACAGATAAAAGTATGCGTGCAAAGCGTCATTAAAAAGCTGGCGTTCTTTTTGAAGAAAAGACCAAATTTATTTGACCAGAAATTTGGCACATAGTATGTACAGATGATTTCACCAAACATTTCAACATGCAATCATTTCCATATTATCAGTTTTACAAAACATCATAACATCTTCTATATTGGTAATTTCAAGTTTAAAATTTTTTCAACTTTTTTTTATTCAGGACATGCTTGTGAATTCAACATTGGACAGTGTAAAAATGAAGAACTGAAATTGTCTCATACTGGACCTTGTCCTGTTCAGCTGAATGGATACAAATAAAGATAAATTCAGCGATTCTTTAGTTGTTTATAAAAGTTGCATCTTTCTAATTATCAACGAAATGTTTCATTTGTAACATGTTCTTATTGGACATAAAATGTAAGGACTATGGCGTTGAATTTAGAGTAAGATGCTGAACAAAACTTCAGAACTGACAGCGTGATATGTTCGATCATACAGTTTTTGTTTTACTATCTCTACGATATCATTTAATAAACAACTGCTGGAATTAAAACAGAGAGTGTAATCTTGATAATGTAAACTGAATGTATATATTTGACATCCAAAGGAAAATAAAGTCTATTACGGTAAAAGTTTGATTGAAAATAATTTTGACAATTATAGTCAATAAAATTCTCACTGATGTACAATTATAAAAAAAAATCGAATTAATGTCAACAGAAATAGACATTTTGTAATTTCGGTTTCTACAACCATGAAAATAGGTAAATAAATAATGTACTGTTTACATTTATATCTATAAATTAACTTAATTTAGGTGGACTTTTACTCAATATATTGGAACAAACTTGGTGAACATCTCTCTGCATTAAATTACTATTTGTTTCTGAGCGTAGACCGAAGTACTGTATACGTTTTATGTATTATTATTATTATTATTATTATTATTATTATTGTGTTCCAAAAATAATAATATTATTATTATTATTATTATTATTATTGTGTTCCATGTTCTCATCTCAAGTTTGACTTTGGTTTTGGTAATATTTTATTTGTATTCATTTTCATAACTCATGTAATTTGAATATTATATATTATATATATGCTCGGTGCCGGAATGAACCATATGGCCGAGATACATTAGTGTCCATGACGGTCCGCATCTGATGCCACCTTTTTTTCATGTCGATCTTTCCGCAAATCATGTCGTGCATACGTGTAAGTACCTGGAGAAGACGACAGCAGCATCCAGACATCTTTCTTTCAAAACGACCCTTTGCAGGACCTCGACCTCCCGAGTTAATCACTACAGGTCTAACAATCATCCCTGAGACTTAAGATGACTTGACCTTGACTTTGTATGCGACATGCATGCCTCAAAGTGAATCTGAAGAAGGTTTAAAAGTTCAAGCGGATATACATTTTATAACAATCAATGCAATGATAATTAATAAGTGATAAAATTAGCAAATTATATGCAGAGAGTTTGATCATACTTTAATTGCACGATTATCAAGTTAATTGCGACATTCGAGAAGGAAAGCTTGCAATTGTAATTTAAACGCGAAACACTTAACACTTGACAATGTTGGTGAATATCTTTATTTGTTGTCTTGTGATTCAATGTGAGTATTTTTCGTTTATGGTGCATGTAAATTTATTGAATTTTGTTGTTTTGATTTATCTTTGACATGAACTTTATCTATGATATTAAGTTATTTCGTAACTTACCATTGTAATTTGTTTATATATGATTATACATATCTGGTATTCTTATTTTTAGTTAGTCATATCTTAATTTGTTTCACCAATACTCGTTTAAGCGAAAATGAACACTGCATGTTAATATTTTAAGGTGTATACGGACGCAACCAAGAAACTAACATATCATATGATGACTGTACAGGGTTTTGTCCTGAAAATTGGGATCCTGTATGTGGATCCGACGGGAATACTTATGGTGAGTGTTTTGTCATATATAGTGGCAGGAGTTGGGAGGTACATGGTGTACAAGAATAAGGTGTCTCATCAGTCAGGCTGGCCCTTTCAGTAGGGTTGACACTATAATAAACAAGACCAAGACCGTTAAAAAAATCTTTGTATAAATTTCTTTGTAATGCGAAATATTGAAAATGAATGTCTTAGAACACGTGTTACTTTCATAACGAATTAAAAGTTCCAAACTTAATATAGAATGTTCCATAAAACTAACTAGAAACATTTTAATGCCTTGAGACTTTGATCTAAATATTTTTTGTTGTTGTTTTTTTATTTGGAATAAAATAAAATTAATTTGTAAGTTTCGTGAAAATATTTGGAAAATAACATATTATCTTCATCAAGATAATTGCAACAATATTGATGACGTCAAAAACGTAGTAAAAACCATTAAAAAGGAATTTTCCTGTATGTCTAATATTTATTATAATTAGTTTGTAAATACATTTTTTGTTTATGTCATTTAGAGATTTTCTTTTTAATTTGGAAATTCAATGAAAAAAGATGTTAAAAAGTTAAAACATTGTTTTTCGCCACATACATGATTTTTTATATTTGTATACATGTAAGAATAACGAGATTTGTGCATTTTTTTATAACTTTTGGTTTAATTGCACCTTCTTTTATATGATAACAAATCATTGCAGACAAAAGTAAATGCTATATCGATGTCAAAACAGATTGATTTAAAATATTACTTGAAGTGACAGAAAGACGAAATGAAAATATTAAGATCTACATATTTTAACATTATTAGCATTAAATGTTCTGCATGTCATGTATCCTTCATAAATAAATAATTAATTTGAATCACCGGTGACGAACTCGGTATAAATTTGAATTTTTTCAGAGGTTTCGAAGTAGCATGTCTTCAGATTTATGCTAATGTTCATGGTGATTTGAAAAATGTATTTAAAAGTAGAATATTGTGAAAGGAGCAAAGAAAAACAGCACTTGCAATCCACATTAGCTCTTACTGCTAAGTAAAATATGGTTATTTACGTGAATACTGCAAAATCAGTCATTGATTACACATAACATGTAAATTATTAGTTGAATATTAAATCCTTTTACTTTTCTTAACAGCTTAATTAATTTTTCTCATGTTTGATTATTGAAATACTTTATTTTTGACTCATGTGGAGACATTAAATAATAACAATTACTAAAAGCAAAATAAAACTATCCACTGAACAGTTAAGTTAATTCATTAGTAATATAAAGTTCAAAACGTATCAACTTTTTTCAGGAAATGCTTGTGAATTCAACATTGGACAGTGCAAATATGAGGAACTGAAATTAGCTGGTATTGGACCTTGTGTTTAGAAGCATCGAATCGTCATTTTGTTAAAATAAAGATGAAGTCTGCAAATCTTAAGTTGTTAAAAAAGTCATATCCTCAGTTAAACCAGATGTTACACTGTGTCCATTCATGAAAACTGCTTCAACTTTCGAATGAATACTATTGTTTCTATAACTATTAAGGTGCTGACGATAAAGGTTGTCCAAAATTTCAGAATTGACACCGTGATATGTTCAATCATTGGTGACATCCGTTTTTTCCTTACTTAACGACAACAGAAAATGCAATGGGGGATGTTACACTTTCCAGCCCTGTCCGTGAACGGGCTCAATGAAACCGAGCCTGCAACATTTTCAATTTTGTCGTTTTTTTACCCCATTACCCCATGAGCATTTTGTGAAAAATGGCTGTTTTCATTGAAAAGTCTCCCGTTACAAGTTCAAGTTGCTATAAAACTATAAAAACTGCTTCAATACTAATCAAACTTGGCACAAATGTTGACTGGACCTTTGCCTTTGTAACAACATGCTCAGTCTGAAATTTCCTGTTACCATGGCAACTAGGGGGCATCTCAAAATTGCCAAAAATTACTATTTTGCGTTGATTTTTTCCATCAAAATGGATTTCAAAGTGCTGCCACTTCTCAATGGATTGAGATAGAGTCAAAGGCTTTTCAGCATTGATTACACGTTACCTTATGATCGACCTGGGGCCATTTTTAGCTTCCCACAAGTCCAAAATTTTCTTGGCGATGAGGGGGACTCCCCCCCCTTCAAAATCCCCCAAACAGAGAAAGAAGGGGGCACATCCCCTTCTGGCAACCCCCTGATGTATCTTTTGGATGGGGGGGGCCGCGCCGAAAAAGTGGTCAATTTTTTTTAAACAACATTTATCAAACAAAACAAGTGTTTGGGGGCCTAAATAAGGCATTTTTTCACCATTTGAGAAAGGAAAAAAGGGGTAGGGGTGAAAAGGCGTAGAAAGGCGTATAATATCTGGTAATGGGTTAAAACAGAAAATGATGAAAATACCTGAAATTACCTAAAAAACGCGTATTTTTTCCATGTTAAACATGGCCTAGCATATAATTTTGAAGAAAAAATTGCCCTTTTTGTAGATTTTTTTTTTTCATTAAACCCATTACCCATGAGCATTTTTGTGAAAAAATGGCTGTTTTCATTGAAATCTCCGTTACAAGTTCAAAGTTGCTATAAAACTATAAAAACTGCTTCAATACTAATCAAACTTGGCAAAATGTTGACTGGACCTTTGCCTTTGTAACAACATGCTTCAGTCTGAAATTTCCTGTTACCATGGCAACTAGGGGACATCTCAATTGCCAAAAATTACTATTTTGCGTTGATTTTTTTCCATCAAAATGGATTTCAAAGTGCTGCCACTTCTCAATGGATTGAGATAGAGTCAAAGCGCTTTTCAAGCATTGGTTACACGTTACCTTATAATCGACCTGGGGCCATTTTAGCTTTCCCACAAGTCCCAAAATTTTCTTGGCGATGAGGGGGGACTCCGCCCCCCTTCAAACCCCCCAAACAGAAAAGAAGGGGGCACATCCCCCTTCTGGCAAACCCCCTGATGTATCTTTGGATGGGGGGGTCCGCGCCGAAAAAGCGGTCAATTTTTTAAACAACATTTCTCAAACAAAAACAAGTGTTTGGGGGCCTAAATAAGGCATTTTTTCACCATTTGAGAAAGGAAAAAGGGGTAGGGGTGAAAAAGGCGTAGAAAGGCGTATATATCTGGTAATGGGTTAATAGCATTTTCATGGCTTGGAAAAAGCAGCATGATTAACTGCGGAATGACATTAATTTTGCCAGTATTAAAAACTATTGCAAAGTAAATAAAAACATTCTCATGCATATGCTAGTCTTATTGTACCAATTTTTTTCAATTTATTGCATAGAACATTGGATATTTACATTTTTGTCCATTCGACGAATAATATTTTCTTACCTCCATAAACAAATAATGGACTGCTTCTCTTATTGATTTCTTATAAAAAGGAATCTTTTTCAGACAACCAGACTAAAAAGCACTAAAAATGATGACGTGTCAAATTCAGCTTAAAACACGTTGTCCATCTATTTAAAGAGGTAATGTTTTGCATTGGACAACACTGCATCAGCGTGGGGATCGTATGGTTATAATATATTCCAGATAGTTGTAGTTTGTAATTTCAATTGCTTTACTACTCTTTTTACTTTACTTCTATTACCTGCACAAACGTATTTTTGAATTTACACTCCCGTTAAAAAAGACACACAGCGAATAGAACGACGAAACCACTGCGCTGAATAGATATCTACCAGTGCGACGTTACTGAATTTAGTTGCTATGTGTGAGAACGCTTCCCCGAAATGCACTCACTTGGCCTAAAAAGCAACAACAACAACAACAACAAAAAAATATTATTAAAGAAATAACTACACCATACATAATATGACGCGAATTTAGTGGTCTAGTATATTTTAGTATTTGAACGGGTCAAAAAAGTACTATCATGTATTCCTACTTTTATGACTAATCATTTCTTTTTTCAGGTAACATTTGACTTATTCCTTTACATTCAACAAATTCCTTTGCAGCCATTTACGCTTTTGTAAAACCTCACTCGTGGGTGTTTTTTAGGGATTTCCTTTTTCTCTATTTGGTGAAACATATGAAGAGATATTTATAAACAATGAAAAATAAAATAAACAACACAGAATTCCTAAAGAAATTGACGGTTTATGTCAAAATTATATCCATCATTTAAACAGAATTGCTATGTAAGAAAGGTCACATGTGTCAATTGCTTGACCCACAATGCTCACATGTTTCTATTGTGACAGTTAACGTTTTATAAAATACAGAAAAAAAATCCCTAAAGAACACCTAAAACGACAAAAATTAAAATGTTGCAAGCTCGGTTTGATTGATCCTGTTCATGGCAGTACTAGAAAGTGTAAGTTACCGACCGTCCAAGCCCCCTAGCACCGGCTTAAGCTAAATTCAGAAATTAAACATGAAAATGGTAAGATTTTGAATTAAATAACAACCCGAGATATATACGGCGAATATCATGGAACCTCCAATGTGACACATTCGTGTCATTCCATGAGACAAAGAAAACAATAGGCGGAACTAAATAAAAAGTGATTTTGAAAGGGGGTCATAGTAATGAAGCCGGCATATCACAGATAAAACGTCAAAAGACAAATTTAAAAGACAGGCACCATATTCTAAGAGTGATTATACAGAATTGGAATAGGAATACTGGAACAACCTAACTGTAAAAGGTTAAATTATAAGGACCTAAAGATTCAACAAACATGCACACACAACAATGATGCCGTGCTAAACGATCTTAAAGGATTGAACTTTTTGCGTATTTGATAAGAATAACTAAAGAACGCCCAGAACGAAATTGAAATGAAGCCACCCATATTATCAGTAACGTTATTTTGCAAAATCTGAGATAGCCCTGTTAAGTAAATTACTCGCATATGCTACAATTACTCATATATTTATTTTTTGGGGGCCAAAAATAGTCAAATGTGTTTATTTTTGTTATAGACACTATTATGAATTTGATAAAAACATTTTAATTTGATAAACGTGTGGTAATTTTAGGCATATTTAAGAACTTGTTAACCAAACAAAATGTATATATGTTGGCAATCTGTTTAAAAACTTTATCTTGTGCGTTTATATCAGAAACAGAATATGAACATCCATAGAAAGTAATGTCAAACATTGCCAATACCAGGAAAGAAATCTTGAAACCTTACACACCACACTAAAAAGTAATTGGTTAAGTCCTGGATACAGTGTCATTTTCATTATTCAGTTCAATCTGGTACCAAAGGCTAACACAGGAAGATTAAGCTATTAACAACACCAAACAAGTTAATAATATAACTGTAGATCTCATATAGGTGCAGAATAGTTCTGGATGCTCATTGCTGAAGCAGATTATTTTCTGTCAAACTTGCAACATTTTCAATTTTGCCGTGTTGGGCTTTCTTTAGGGATTCTGTATATATCTATTTTAAGACCACATCCGTGTTATTTGTGCCGTGTGGCGGCTGTAAAAAGTCTCCCCGTACATTTAATCAATGATGTTATATTTTCGATCCTTGAAGATCGTTCAGCACGACATTATTGTTGTGCTTGTGGTATTTTAGTTTCAACTTTTCGGCATTTTCTAGTTGGGTGGTTCCAATATTCATACTTTAATAATGTTGAATCACCCTTAGGATATGTTGCCTGCTTTTTAAATTTGTCTTTTGACGTCTTATCTGTGATACGCAGGCTTCATAATCTCTGATCCCCTTTCAAAATTCCATTTTATTTAGTTCCGCCCATTGTTTTTTCGTTTAGGGCACACGCTTTTTATTACTTGGGGACTATACCGCGCTTTTCATGGAATGGCACGGAAGTGTCACATTGAAGGTTCCATGATAACCGCCGTATGAACACATCTGCGGATGTTTCTAAATTCAAAATTTTACTATTTCACGTTTAAATGTTGAATTCTGCTTAAGCCGGTGCTAGGGGGCGTGGACGGTAGTTTGCACGTTACAGTACCGTCCATGAATAGGCTCAATCAAACCGAGCCTGCAACATTTTCAATTTTGCCGTGTTGGGCTTTCTTTAGGGATTCTGTATATATCTATTCTATTGGTATAGCCCCAGCTTATAACAGAGATATTTTACTTCTAAGTTAAAGCATTCTTGTGTATAATAAGGTCGCCTTTAATTCCTAAACTCTAAGGTTTTGGTTCAAAACCATTTTGCTTTTAAGGTTGTTCATTATGGATTAGGCTGTTATTCAATATGACTCAAGCTAACACTTAACCTGTTTTAAAACTTGCTTTAAAACAGTATATATTTTAGATAAACTCCGTTAGATCACATCATATACTTATTAATATTTTATGCAGGCAGATGCCGTTGCAAGAATATAGTATTTTATAATTACTTTGATAAATGCGAAAATCAAAATAATTATCATTGCTCCTTAGGTCATACAAACAACATTTAATATGGACGTTTTTCTGGTTTGTAGTATTCTTGGGGATAGTATGTATTTTATTTTATATTGTATATGTTCTCGTGCTTCATGGTGCGTTATCCTTGTTTCACTACATGGTGTTATAATATGAGTTATATTACACATTGTCGAGTACAATAAACAGTCATCAAACCAATATAGACGAGAAGCTACCAGACACAGAAAAGTATTGTATGTTTGAGATCATACCTATAGATAACTTTTTGTCTTGTCGAATATTTAACAATATCTTTTGTTTTAAAATGGTGAAAATTAGATATATAAATGTGTTGGTACAACAGGAAATTACAGTATACGAATAACTATACGAGTATAACAAAATATAAACACAATCAGTTTTGTGCTACTTTCCTTTATTAATTGAGATCTTTTTTGATGATTTAAAGGCAAAAAATAAGTTAGCAAACCGTTTTATTTCCGATTTCATTAGTTTGAACGTTAAACTGCCTGATATAACAACTGAATGTGTAATAAATAAGTGATAAAATCAGCCAAATTATATTCATACAGTTTGACGTCACTTTCATCCACTTTTATATGCAACAATCTAGACGGTTAACTTTCTGTAGTAATCTGAACGCGCAATCTTTGACAATGTTGGTTAGAATGTTATTTTGTTGTCTTCTCATTCAAAGTGAGTAAATTTTCTTTCTTTTTGTAATAGATTAATTTATTTTTTATTCTTATATCAAAAATAAACAAGTTACTGTTTGACATACCTGAATTAAAATTTGTTTAGATATTCCAAACGGTACAAAGCCAACAGTATGTTATGATTGTCTGAAAGCTGCAAGTGTTTGATGATGCTTGTAATGTTTCACGAAGGCGAACTGCAAATGCGCTAAATTTTCATAACCGTAAAATTATTAAGAAAGTATATACAACGTATATGTCAGAAATGCTATGTTTTTTTTTTTAATAATGACCATAGTGATATAAAATCATTGTGACTGAATGCTCATTTTTATATTTTGTTTTCATTTCTATTATCCTTGACATTTTTGATAAGACATTAATGACAATAAATGATGAAACAGACATTGAACTTTGATATTTTAAGGTGTATGTGGACATGACCATCAAAATGACATAACGGACGCCGATTGTGACCATGCATGTATTGCTCTTTGGGCTCCTGTTTGTGGATCCGACGGAAAGACATACGGTTAGTATTTTGCCATTCACGTTTTAAATCTTATCGTGAAACTATCAACGATATGAAATTTGACAATAATATCATCAAAGGATGATAATATTTCAAATGCTAGTAGTTTTATTAAACATTCCGGTGCAAGGTTTGAAAATGATTATATTGATGCATCCATCTAACAATGTAATATCAAATGTTATTAAAGTTATTATCTTTTGCTCCGTTTACTTTTTGCTTGGCAATCAATAGTAATAAAGAATTAGTAGTTTGTACAGAAGTAAAAATACCACTTTTTATGACAATTTTTTATAAAAATCAGCGCTACTTATGCCCAGTGATAAGAATATTAACTGCTTTGAGGCTATTATTAGCCCGTTCTATAAAAGAAGAAAAAATATTCATTTTTGAAGCATAATGTGCTTTTACCAAAGTCTTACAATTCTTCGAATTCGAAGTTTAATGAAATGAATTTGTAGTTTAGAGAAAAGGAAGATAACTATTTGCAAACTGAAACAAGATAATTATGTGAAATACAATTAATGAAGTCAAAAAGGTACTGGACAAATCAAAAACATTTGTGTGTGCATTTTTGTTTCTTCATTTTTATGTAGATTTTTTAATTCATTTGTTTTACATACATTTGTAAATATTTTATATACATGAAATATCAGTAGAAACACTGTAATGAAAATATGTTTGTTTTTCAATAGCTGTTAAAAAACATTTTTTAACTGATTTTAAATTATTATTTTTAAAAAGCATTATTTCCAAGTACTTGCACCTTGAAAATATATCGATGAAATTTTGTAACCGCAGTATTCCTAAATATGTTTATGTTTATCAACAGACAAATTATGTAAATAAATTTATCTTTGAAAAGTTTTATATCCTTTTCAAATTATACAATGAAGGCCTAGACATATCATTAAAGTGTCCCTTTTGTGAATCATGAAACTTCTCTTTCAAATTTGAATAAGTTCTTGGTTTATTTGACACTTTATTGCCTAATTCAAAGCAGGAAATATATCAAACTACGTATGGAAATAGACTGATTAATTACTCAGAAATGACATGAACTAGATGTTAAAGTTATAGGTCTGCATAATTCAAAATTATTTGCTTTTCTACCTGTTGTGGTAACTTAAAAAAGCCGGATGGCAATAAATTGAACAAAAATAGACAAGTTGCTACAGACTCTATAAAAATCAAATTCTAATGCACAGTATGAAATAGCGAAAAACGCAAAATAAGTTAAATCCTTCTGGCTGCAAATTGAGTCGTATATTCTTAATTTCATCAAATATCTTATTACAATATCGTTAGAAACTTAAAAACATTTCAACTTTTTTCAGGAAATGCTTGTGAATTCAACGTTGGACGGTGCAAAAACGAAGAACTGAAATTAGCTCATACTGGATCTTGTCGTGTTTAGATGAATGGAAACATAATAGTGTTACAAATAAAGATAAAGTCTGCAGAAATCTTATGTTGTTTGTAAAAGTTATATCTCCAAATGTTCAACGAGATCTTTCATTTTTAATATCTAATGTTTGAACATACAAGTATAAGTATTATTGTTTTTTTATGAGAGCAAGATGTTGACATAACATAACAGGCTGCTCAAAACTTTGGAATTGCATATGTCCGATCATATGTGATTTGATTTTTACGTCGATCCGTTTTTACTTTACTTTACGACACCATTTTATTTACAATTGAAATAACTGTGATAAATATTGTGCTACGGAAAAATAATATAAACCCCTATTTCCAAAGCCAGCTTGCTTAAGTGTCAGATATTCATTGTTAAAATTCAAGATCAAGTAACTTGCTTATACAAAAAATCTTTAATACGGAGATATAACCATATACGATTATACATAAATAAAGAAAGTACTGATATTTAGACTCCAAAATGTCAATACTTCCATCGTCATGTTTCCTAAGAAATACGCTGATCACGTGTTATCTGCACTGCAGATGTTTTGTTTTATATGTCTTCTGAAACTATTTTAAGCGGCTTCTCATTTAGTCTACTTTTTATAGGACCAACATACTTAGAAGATTCTGATGCTATTATCAACTTGCTTTGTTTAGTTTCTAGACAGAAACTTTTACAAGTGCTAATATTAAATTTACATTGTGCTGACAATATGATATAGAATTGCAGTAATGTATAATTTATTATTTTATTTATTTCATTTTAATATCTTTAATCGAAGACAAAGGGATCATACAGATTGTCCATCGCAAGAACCATCATGGGCCACCTTAAGGTTTCCATCACGGCAATGGGCGGAATGGAACTCACACATGTTACCTGTAACATTATTTAGAAAATCTGTTACAGTATGAAACATAATTAAGATTTAACGACTCAAGTCATGCTAAAAGAAAAAATATTAACGATTTTTATAATCAGTGCAGGTATCTCAGTTATGAAATGACTAGCAATTGACACAAGTTGAAAAACAATCTACTGAATGCACATATTCATTTAAACCAAATAAAATGTGAACTTTGTCCTGATAAGAGTTCAGATAACCAACAAGAAGAAACAATTTGCAATATAACACGAGTAAAACATTTTACCATATGTTTTGCCATCCGAGCCGCATAAGGGCATCCAATTGGCCGGACAAATCAAAGGACAAAAATCCCCAGTTTGGCGGTCTTCAATTGATGCCCCGAATATATCTAAAACAACAAATGACATTACGTAATTAAAATCGAGTCATGTTCTTAATCAAAAAGTGAAAACGTTAAATGAAATTGATACTAGTCCCATATAAATTCATATAAAAGCGAGAAAATATAAAATAAACTTACATCCGATCATGAAAAAGAAAACAAATATTTTTGAAATCATTTTGGAGCAGAGACACGTAACAATAAAATTGTAAATGGTTTGCAGGAGCTATCTACTGATAAGAGCTACTCGTTATAGGTCATAATGACCTAAATTTTGCTGTTAAGTACTGATAATGTTAAGTTTACTCATTGTATTTCATTTATTATTGAAATGCTGACTTATATAGATGTGAAAATTGTTATACTACTTTCAGTAATTAACCCTTCAAATGCTTCACTCAGAATTCCTTAACCATTTGTTGTTAATAGAAAACGAACAGGTAATGCAGAAAATATTTAACAAGGTTTTATTTATTCGCACTTTCACAAAATAACAAAAATGAAAATAGAACACATACCGTTATGCAACAGGACATATCTTATAATTGTTATAGCATTTCATACTATAATAAACGCTCTCCAAACGTAAAAGAAAAGTTAAAGCTGTGCACCTCGATCTTCAGCTGCTTGGCAGTTTTTCATTCAAGCATAAGCGTTACTGCACCAGTTAGTCATTCTATTCTTTAAAATTCACAGTACAGCAACTGCGTTGGTCCAATTTGCCGGTAAGTGATGGTGACACTTTTAAAATTAAGTTAGAAATAATAAATAAAGTAACTTTTACTCCACGATATTGTCAAAGTTGACAGGCAAGTTACAGAGAGAGGAACCAATTTAATTAAAATCAGTTCTAAATAACACTCCGCATTTTGATCTTACCGTGACCAAATACGAAATCGTTTCTGGTGACCTTTCAGACAGCCAATCATCGGCGAGCTTTCATAATTTTTAAAGCGACGTGGTGTTTAATTTTAACACTTGGAAAAACCAATACTGAGAAGGACATTTTGACGATTTCGAGAACAAACATAGCGTTGTCCATATAGCCGACAGGTAAACTGGCAAAACAATCTTTCCCATTAAAAGTTGTTAAAAACTATTTTAAATGTTTTTTTTGTTGTTGTTGTTGTTTTTTTCCTTAAAACTTCTTCTAATGCCTATGTAAAAACCGGTTTGATTGCATGGCTAAAAAAGCTTTCCCGGGAAATCCGAATTATAAAGATAGCGAAACATACACGATCGTCATCAGATCCATATAAAATAAATAAGTAGATCTGAACCTTAGTCAGATTGAGAGAGGTACATAAATAAAACTACAAGGTCCTTCAGAATATAACTGTCTATATTTTGTTCTATCGAAATGTCTCGTGATAATACGGGGAGTGTTCAAATGTGAATACAACTAGGCCAGTATCTCGCTTTTAACCATGTTTTGCACGAACTATGTACATGTATCGCATAGATGGTTGTGTAAGTTCTCAATTGATACAAAACATGTGTCTAGCCTTGACAATAGCTTCTCGTGTATACTAAAGCTAAAATTGTTTGGGAAAGGTCTCCTTTCACTGAAAAAATACGGTCCTATAACAAGAACCGCTGTATTCTTGGTATACAGGCGAAAGACATATTTAATGAAATATGACGTGTTTATTGGAACAATGAACTTTCTTTTTCGTTTATCACACGGTGGTGTTAGAAATTTTTAAGTGGTGTGATTTCAGTTAAAGATGCACCTAATGCCCGCCGTCCGAAAACTGCAACTTAGCAAAAAATGTTTGAAGAAGTAAAAGATTTGATTGCTTCTGATGTATGATTCACAACTAGTATAAAGCTAAATGCGTTAGTATCTTTGTAGGAGCCCGTCACACAATTCTTAGAATAAGAAGGATAAGTGCAAAATGGATACTCCATCTTCTTACAAAAAGCCTTGCTCGGATAAGAATCTCCAAATAATTGTTGAAACAGTTCCTAAATACAACAATTGATCTGTTGCAAATATCAGGTTCACTTTCATGAGCCCAAGCGAAAGATACATAACAAAATATAGGCAACCAAAGGAAGTCAAAGACCTTGCATAGCAAAACGCATCATGAGCGTCAAGAAGGTCACGTATGTAATTTGCTTTACCAATCAATGTCCTGCTATTCAAATATACGTACCAAAGGGTAACATTTTAAATGCCAAGTTTAACAAAGGCGAGGTCCTTCATAAATTAAAGAAATATTTCAAAAACCGCCGGCCAGCAACTGGTCTCCGTGGTGTCAAGTTGTTGCATGACAATGCTTCGTCACACAAAGCGGCAATTGTACGAGAATATCTGAAACAGGAAAAGGTTGTCCTGCTTCTTCGCCTTCCTTAATGACTAGATTTTGCACTTTGTGATTTTTTCCCTATTTTTGAGGCTCAAAAAAACACCTTGTTGAAATATATCAAACGCGAAAAATCTCGGTTAAGCTTTTTTGAAAATTGGCCCAGTTGCATTCATATTTGAAAACCCCTCGTAGACTATTTGTTGCCCAGGTTTTTATACTTGTATTATGTTAGCCTGAATGGCTTATCCAGATATCTTTAAGTTGTGTAATTTCATTTAATGTTTCTTTCGTCAAATACCTTACAGTCATATAAACTTATACGGATTCGTGTACAAATACAATATGTATGAGTAGGTCATAGCGACAATATCAGATATAATAAGACTATAATAAAAAAAATAGATGTTTTGATGAAAGCTCATAGATAAAATCATGTAACTGGCTAAAAAAACACACACAAAAAAGTAAATTGAAATATTTTTTTGAAAGAAGATTTTTACTCTTTACGAGTTTGAAAAGAAAGATCAACTAAAGAAAGCTGCCAAATTGATTATTTTCACGTGTACATTATCTGACGTTTATTGCAGTGTCACTTGCAGAATGGCACGAGCCTTGATAAGCCACTTTTAGGCTTCCATTGCGGCAATGAGCGGCTTGGAACTCACACATATTACCTGTAACAATATTGTAAACTCAATTAATTAAAACTTGCGAAGAAAAGCTACATAGAAATATCGAATTTATATCATACGGAAATAGACATGTTGATGTTCGATTTTTTTTTTCTCACCTTATACTATACAAAGAGCTATTTTCAGTTTTCCACACAATGGGATTATTATCCCCAATGAATCGGTTATTATCGAATTTTTGGGTAATCGATATAAACCAAAAGCTACACTCGTCTTCTTTCGACAGTTTTCGTTTTATCCTATTTAAGTACAATTCTATTTTCTTTTATGACGCTATTATTTGGCGGAAAATATCACTTTTTTGCATTCCACAATGCTTAATTATCATCAAGGATTGAATATGATTAAACATATGACGACCTGTCTGCTTCGATACGTTTCATGATTATCAACCTTATTATAAAAATACAAATTATTTAATAATAAAGTTTAGTTTTGCAAGTTTTTGTTTTGTTTGTTTGTTTTTCTCAGTGAATACATCTTCTAGGAGCAGCTTATTTCCTCTTGTACTGTATCTTACCATATGTGTTACCATCCGAACCACACAAAGGCATCCACTCATCTGTACAAATCAAAGGACACGAATCACCGACATTATCAACCAGGCGTTCTTTTAGTGATACCCCGAATACATCTACAATAAAACATGAAATAAATAATATTTGTAAGACTTATAAAACAGAAAATACTTTATAAAGAATATCAAGTAATTAACTCCGTTCTGTAGATCACACACAATTAAGATTTCTTTTTTCTTACATCCTATTAAAATAGTGAAGGTCAATATTTTCATAAACATTTTAAAGTAGTTCGCAGGAACAACCAGTTGTATAGCGAATTTGTAAATGTTTAACCACGATTTGACTGATAAGATTTGAAAGATAATTGTCCCATGATAAGTAAAATTTTGCCAGTTTTAGGACATCATGGTTTAAGTAAGACTTACCACTTCCGTCCACGAAACTGCGTTAGAATTTATGACTGTTTAAAAACGCAGTTTCTCTCTACGAAAAAAGAAACTGATATTGTTCTAAAAAACATGCTAACACGCCCACAGCAGATCACCAAACCGTCGCATGGTATAAGACACCGAATAACTGCGCCAAAGTTCTTTGATAAGGATATTTGAATTACCTCCCTTTAATCATGATATGAATGTCCAGATGTATGAAGACGGAAGCCGGACCGACAACACCAAAATACGTGTTTGATTAGCGTTTTCCGCGTATATAATTTAGGTACTTGATGACAAGCACATTTTATCAAAGTATTGACCGAAACATGGAAAGAAAACTATGCGTAGTACTGACTGTTGTTTCGATTTTGTGTTGCACATATGCCCGGTATAAAGGAATAGGGAGAGCATAGTCTGCATATGGCAACAGTAAATTATTCAAAAATGGCAACCACAACAAAATAAGAAGAAATAAAGAAATGAAACACAAGCATAAACAAAAAAAATATAATATATGATTCAGTAAGTATGCATGTATTGTCATTTTATTTTGTCTAAAGAAATACAAAACATGAACTCAAAACCCGGTAGAACAAGAAAGAACCCAAAACCCGGTAGAACAAGAAAGAACCCATAACCCGGTAGTACAAGAAAGAACCCAAAACCCGGTAGAACAAGAAAGAACCTAAACCCCGGTAGAACAAGAAAGAACCCAAAACCCGCTAGAACAAGAAAGAACCCATAACCCGGTAGTACAAGAAAGAACCCATAACCCTGTAGAACAAGAAAGAACCCATAACCCGGTAGAACAAGAAAGAACCCAAAACCCGGTAGAACAAGAAAGAACCTAAACCCCGGTAGAACAAGAAAGAACCCAAAACCCGGTAGAACAAGAAAGAACCTAAACCCCGGTAGAACAAGAAAGAACCCAAAACCCGGTAGAACAAGAAAGAACCCAAAACCCGGTAGTACAAGAAAGAACCCAAAACCCGGTAGAACAAGAAAGAACCCAAAACCCGGTAGAACAAGAAAGAACCCAAAACCCGGTAGAACAAGAAAGAACCCAAAACCCGGTAGTACAAGAAAGAACCCAAAACCCGGTATAACAAGAAAGAACCCAAAACCCGGTAGAACAAGAAAAACCCAAAATCCGGTAGAACAAGAAAGAACCCAAAACCCGGTAGAACAAGAAAGAACCCAAAACCCCGTAGATCAAGAAAGAACCCAAAACCCGGTAGAACAAGAAAGAACCCAAAACCCGGTAGTACAAGAAAGAACCCAAACCCGGTAGTACAAGAAAGGAAAACGCTGATCTGAAAACATAAACAGAATGAAATAACGAATGTACTGAATACTGAAATTAACATAATCATGTCTGAACGTGTATGATACATTGCAGTGATGAACCTAAAAACCTCAAGGAATTGTATAAAAAATGCCTGAGCGTTAAATAGATGACTAACAAAAGAATGACAAATTATGTACTTTACAGACATTCAAGTGCTTTATGCCTTCACTGATGCTAACTAATCTAATTACAATAATTGCCGAAAGAAGACATAAAAATGCGACACAAATTATAAAGAAATCAAAACAAAGATGCATTTACTGTAGAACATTAACACACAACGCTTAAAATACAGTATCTGTAAAAATGGCATATAAAACAACAAGAACGGTTAGTGGTAAGATATTTTACACCCATGTATCCGAAGAGACAAGCACTATGTTAAAATGATATATGACATATGTTTCAGTGAAAGAGCGACAACTACTTTCTGGAGCACAATGCTTTTGCAAACTGTTACATACCCGAAATAAACTAGACCAAACAATTAGAACCATAGTAAAATCATTGTAACTCACACACAGACATATATACAAATTTATAAAAAAAAACCAACATAAAGGAATATCATAGGACATTTTATGCTAAATGCATTTATTAACCTTTTTTAACAAAATACATCATAACAATAAAGACAACCAAAACATAATTCGCACATTCTCAATTCTTATATTTTAATAAAAAATGGGCTTAACTATGTGATCAATTTTGATATTTTCAAAATTATTATTATTGAATGTAAACAAGCCCACAAAAATCAACAAGAGTGAAACGTTAAAAAAAAAAAAAATAAAAATGTAAAATATTTACTTAATATTGTAAATAAATATCGACGTCTAGGAAATCTAGAAAATTTCTACATTTTAATTTATTATCATTATTATTGTTATTATTTATCTTTTTTATAATGATTATTATTATTAATATATATTTTTTTGATATTGCAATAATTCCTTCAAACGTTGTAAAATGTACAGTTATGCATTTTCCAATTACATAATACATGTACACAACGTTAAAAGATATAATCATGGCGCATGAATAATGACATCCGCTAGAAAATAACTTATGACCGTACTCTGATAAAACCACTTTTATGAAACTTAAACCAGTTAAAACCGCTTATGAAAGCCACGGGTAGGCTTTATTTAATTAAGTATACATAAAGGTAGGTACTAAGTCATTGTCCTAGACAGCTCCTGACTTATCAGTAGGGCATGGTGAGAACATCAGTGTGAGAAAATTATTTAGACTTATTGTAACAATCAATGGCCCTGCATGAGGCAATAGCATTGCCAATGTACCCAGCAACATCCACGCTACCTGGCATGACACCTGTAATTCATAAATCTGTTCGATGATTATTACAAATCTTAGATCTCATCTATTAAATTATGTGTCTCAATCAATTAAGATTGGTTTGATATATTGTTGTCTGTGATGTCAAAACTAAAGTCAGAGGATGCCATCAAAATTTTGTAAATTTTACAATAGTTAAAAAATTTGCAGGTAAACAGTTTAATCTTGTTGAGATTTTTTTGACAAATCAGGAATTTTTCGACAGAATTATACCATTTTTGTTTATAACCACTATATTTACAATCATATAAATAGTAATAATAACAATAATAATAAAAATAATAAAAATAATAATAATAAAAAAAAAAATAATTGCGCCTGCATATAATAATTTATGAAATCATCTTTCACTTTCTTTATTAGAAAAAAAAGTTAATTTCTTCTTATAGACAATTTACGTCTTGTTCCCATAATGCTTAAAAATCTCCCTTTTGTAAACTAGTGAATTGCCAACGATTAATTAAATTTCAATTGTTTCAACCATAGATAAAAAAATCCTCCTTTCATGGCACGAAGACTTGTGATAAACTATTTTATATATGAGCCGCGTCCTGACAAAACCAACACAGTGCGTTTGCGACCAGCATGGATCCAGACCAGCCTGCGCATCCGCACAGTCTGATGAGGATCCCTGCTGTTCGCTTACCAACTCTATTACAAGTGGAGACACTGACAGCGAACAGCATATCGATCCTGATCAGACTGCGCAGATGCGCAGGCTGGTCTGGATCCATGCTGGTCGCAAACGCATTATGTTGGTTTTGTCGTGACGCGGCTCATATATATTTTTTATTTGTTTACATTTCTCGCGAGATTGTTTCCTTTTTGTTAAAATTTCATGGGAGTCTTATCTTATTTTGGCGCAAAATTCATAAACATGTTGAAAATTTGAAAAGGATATGGAATAATGATAACAAACCTTACTGATGAGTGAATTTACTGAAGTATTAAAAGGGATGATATAAATTGTATCTCTTACATCGAATAACAATATATCACAGTTGTCTGTGTTTTAAATTTAGTGCATGAAAAAAAACAACAACAAAAAAAAACCACACACACACAAATTTTTACTACATTGTACAAAACAAAAAAGTTCAACCTTGATAACATTCATCAACAAACAAACAGAAAAAACCCCAGATAGATACCATTGAAAAAACAGGCCTGAAACGAACTTTTTAATAACGGAGAAATTTATATTGTTTTTGTCTTGTTTGCAATTTAAAATAATTTCATCATTGTTTAGTGTTTACCGTTCAAAAAAAAGAAAACAAAACGTTAAAACTTATATATATTGGCTATAACTGAACTTTTTTCGTAAAGAGTAATTATAATTAAGCTAGTTCCGGTTTATTTATGTTTCCTCTTCAAGTCTATCTACGTGTGCACTATTTGTTTGTCTAAAACATATACTCATAGATTACCAATGTTCTACTCACTTAAATAAACGTGTTTCTAAAGTCGTCTGGAATGTTTACTAAAAGTCTATTCCGATATAAGAAAGTACACCAGCATCAGTACGGCAAGGTCTGATAATAGGGTTTTACAGTTCTGCTGATGCTTTTATGGTCGTGTTTGTGATAGGTATGGGAACTATGACGTTAATGAATGTCTGGGGATAATGTCGAATAGATATGATACTAGATTTCATTATGCATTTATAATGCATGAATAAGAAACGGATTTCGTTAGAAACCTAGAATTTAAAATACATTTACTACTGTTGTCTCAAATGTGAATGAAACACATATTCAAAAGAAACGGGAAAGATATGTGCTTTTTTCTTTCTCTTTAAATATGTGTAAATGATATTTTCCTCTATACGTATATAAAGAGGTGTTGTGTATTCCATATGTAAAAATTAAAGAATGATCAATGGAAGGGAATGTTGTCCATAACATAAATGCCCACTGACCGAGACATACAGGGACGGACATAGCGGGTGACAGAACAGCAGCAGGACTATAAAATTTGTAACTGTCAATTTGGATATCTTTGTCTAACCCCAAAACTGACCTGGAATTTTATTTGATATGCAGTTAAATCGTTATTAGTTTAATGAGTGAAAACTATTTAATGAGTGAAAAGTATATAGCTAACGTTACGATCCAAACTTAAAGAAATCAAATATAGTTCAACATTTCAAAAAAGAAAAAAAAATGAAAGTAATTCCGTAGGAGACTTCAAATATTATCATATCTGTTAAATTTTAAAATACGAAGCGCATTAACCA